AGGGAGGTCTAACCAATTTCTGTGCAGCGCAGTGCAAGGAAAAGAGTCAGGATTCGCTGAAGAGACTTTGTGTAGCTGCGTATGAAACTAAAAACCTTGTTATCTCCCCCAAACAGTATCGTAAGCTACAAAACTCCACGTAACCCACAATTTTGAGCTATTTTCCCCCGAAAGTACGTCTTTTGTGTTTTTTTTTCAGAAAGAGATGAGAAAAGATGGTCTCACCATGTCCTTGATCTGGCAGTGGCCGTAGCTGAAGACGATGGCATTGGGCGGGTTCCCAACAGGCAGCATGACCCCGAAGGAGACGCACATAGTGGCGGGGATCAGGGTGTGCAGGGGGTTGATCCGCAGGGTCTCCGACTGCGACAGACAAGGCGCGTTAAGACCCCCCACTGCACGCCGGGGCCGCGATGCACCCCAGAAAACCCAGCGTGCAAGCCCCACTTGGCGCGGGTTCTTGGCTCACACGGCAGGAGAGGAACAACAGTGGGATTCGATACACCGCGGGGGCGCGGTGTCGGGGAAGGAGTTGGGCCGGTGGGGTGTCGGCCTCTCTCCGGGAAAGGGATAAACTATTCAACTCCCGGCCTCTCTCACCTCCGGTCTGAACCCTCCTAGTGGCTTCTCTCTTCATCAAAACCTGAACACACCTTGAAAACTACCGCTGATTCACGTGTCAAGAGGCTCACTCCCCATCATCTGTCTGTCCTTGATTTCATTCTGCTGATCTGATGTCGTTTTGCACACTGCCTGTTGTCTCTGTCTTTCTTTCCTTATACAATTGTACTGCTGTTACTAATACTTACTGGCTGAGAGCTAGCCAAATAGCATTTCGTTATACCATATACCTGTGTGTGAGTATACTGACCATAAACTGAGAACTGAATCTCAATAAACGATTACTTTTTCAATGAAAAGAGACTATACGCTAGGGCAGGGCTGTGCCCTGTGTCCAGTTTCCTGCCTTCTGCTTGGAGCTGGGGAGGTAGGGAGGGTGGGAGTTTCTCTTGCTGGTCTTTTACAAGGCAAATAACCCCCTGGGGACGGGGTGTGATACCCCTGCTCTAAACAGTCATACGGCGCTGTGTGGGACTGTGCGTGTGAAGTT